CAGAGGTTGCCAGCTGCTCATTACAATCCACATTCTTCTCTCCTACTTGGGGACACAGCTACCTCCATTTCTCATCCTCCCTTGCAAAGAGTGAGGCCTTGCGGCTGGGTTCTTGCCATGAGAAGAAGTGACAGGCCCTGCTTCCAGGTCAGGCCCATTAACCTTGTGCATTCCTTCATGCCTGTTTCCCCCTCCAACTGGCTTGAATGGGGACGGGCACCTAGGGGACCAAGACATCACACAACAGAGGAGGATAGAGCTCCATCAGCCTGAATGACCACGTGGAGGAGGGCTATTCCTCCAACAAGTTCACCTGCTCACACTGTTACGTGACCTAGAAACAGGCTTCTCTTTGTGTTGGAATCATTATATATTCTGCATCCGCTTGTTAGAGCCTTTTGCCTGCCTTCACTAATACACTTAGGTAAGCCTTGTTTAGAATGCCCATTTTGGAATTGGGGAAGATATTTGTGCTTTAGTTCCAATAACAGTAACAGTAATTAATATTTATTGAGTGTTTATTATGCAAAGAGCTTTATATTTATTAATTCTTAATTCTTACAGGAAATGCTTGCGATCAGGGCTATTAGTGCCATTTTACAGTCTGGGGAGACAGAAGGTTTAAACCACTTGCCCAAGGTTATATAGGCAGGAACTACAGAAGCTGAGATTCAAACCCAGGCGGTATGGGTCCAAGAGCCTACACTTTTTATTACTGCCATGGGGCACCATGACATCCATAAAATCAAATATTCCACCAGCCAGATCAGCTTGTTTTAAATTATTCTCACATCCTAACAGTTACTCTTGTCATCTTTTCCAGGGGTTTCCAAGAATCCTGACCCAGAATCTCCACCTTAGAACCCAGGGCCTTGCTATCAGCTCTCAGACCTGCCTCATGTCCCCCATATATGTGTCTGCCTGGGCTTTGCCGTACTTTCCTCCTCATCTCCTGGACACTTGGCTCCACCTCCTCCCAAGACTCCCCTCTGACTTTAAGCAAGTCATCCCTGACTCAGACCAGCACTCGCTCCCTCCTCTAGATCCAGTCCCCAGATACTGCTTCTGCCTGCTTAGACAACGGATCCCCACGTCATCTCCAGAGACTCACCTCACCTAGCTGGGCATCCATTTGCCTGTCCAGGCTCCTCATGGTCTGGCCTAAACCACATCCTGACTAATTCCAAATTCCCATTCTGACTTCATTCATTCATGCACATTTTTACTGAGTGTCTACCAAGTCCTAGGCACCGTGCTGGGCACAAAGGACCGGAGGGTGAACAGCAAGGCACACGCCTGGCCCTTTGGATCAGTAGGATCAGAGCAGCGAGCCCCTCCAATCCCATCCCTCCTGGACCTCAGCCTATCGCCTCCCCTCCAAATCAAGACATCTGAAAATATTTCTATTCTGTTCTCGTCTTCAGGATGCTTGAAACTTTTTTAAATTCCAGATTTGACCTCTAATCCCTGAGTATTGTCTGATGTTCTGCAAAAGATAGAATGGCACCAGACGCCTGCCCTTGTCAAAGCTTGTTTAGAGGCAATCTCAGAAGGATCGAGTTGGTGACCCAAAGAGGAAAAGCTCTCCGTCACTGGGCAGAGTCTTAGGAGGAGAGAACAGATCGCTCTCGCACTGTGGTACAGCAATGTTTGCTTTCTCTCTCTAAATATGTAACAGGAAATTAGGCAGTTCACCTCTGTAAATCGTTCGCATTCCACTCATGCATGAGCCAGATGGTGCCTCTTTAAGAAATTAAAAATGACAAAGAAAGAAAGAAGGAGGAGTTTCTCTCTTCCTCTGCCTCTGCCCTCAGATATACGCTCTGGAATCTGCGCTAGATGGGTGAGCACAGACACACACACACACACACACACACACACAGAGACCTGAATTATCTGCATTCAGCTATATTAGACACCAGAAACCAGCAAACTCCTAGGCCCAGGAGACTTCAGTAGCCTCCAGTAGTAGAGGGGCGCTAACCTGTGCTGGGAGTCAGCTTGCAGACAGAATCCTTCATGTTCTTGCTATCTAATAAATCGCTGCCTTCCCCCAGAGCCTCAGCCGGTGGACCAAACAAAACTGTCTTTCATAAGTCACCTGAACGTGGACTCAGCTCTAAGATTCAAAGCGGGACCAGATACACGCTGACCAGAAGAACAAGTGAGGACGGAAGCCCCATATCTCTACCTAAGTGGAAAATTTGGGGAGGAAATTTTCCAGAGGTGGTCAGCTAAAAGACCCTCCTCTTTGGGGGCAGCCACACGATCCCAGTTCATTTTCCAGGGATCAGGAGGTCCCTCTCTCTGACCTCTCTCTAATATCTGAAAATAAGATTATCCCTGGAGTTCTTCCGCCTTGGTGGGAAAGGAACTAAGGAAGATAATATAAACAAAAGTTTATCCAGTAGGTAGCATACTCCAGGCTTTTTCTTTAAACAAATGAACTTGTCTAACATCAAAATAACTATGTTGCGAGACTATGTTTGTCCTCATTTTAAAATTGGGACAATGAAATAGAGATTAGAGAAAGTGCATTGAGGTCCCATGGCTGCTAATGATGCTAGGACGTCAACACAGATAGGATTAGGCCCACATACAGGGCTCCTTTGTCACCCTGATGTCTTCCAATATGGATAACAAGACTTCAAGGTTCATTATGGATGTGACCTCAGGCAAATCTATTTCCACCTTTTGTTTTATGGAAAATGAAGGAGGGGGAGCTGTGTATACACTAGGAGATTGTGAGCAACTGAACATTAAGATATGCTACAAGCTGCTCTTTGAAAATGGAGAGTATACGATCAACTCACCATCAGTGGAATATGCAGTTTTCCAGTGGTGCCCTGTGTTTTTACCGCAATAGCTATCCTTTTGATTTCATACTTCCTTGAGACCAAAGACATCCATTTTCGAGCTAGCTGGCCTCAGCTTAATCCTGGCTGAGAACTCATGAAAAAGGAACTGTGGATACCTAGAGTAAGGACATTTTCTCACCTCACTCTCCCTTTCTTAAATTCCAATCTGCCTTGGAGCCCATAGAAATGAGACAGATTTACTCCTTGCAGCTCTCCGAGGAGTAAAGAGCAACAGTTCACAGTTACAAAGCAGTATCACTTGGAAATGTGATCTTTTTTTTTTCTCTTTAAAATCAGAATCGAGAAATAATAAATGCACTCCTTGAAGCAAGTTTGAAAGCCGAGTCTACACACATTCTGATCAGATATTGTTTCCTAAGACCCTGGTGAAGCCAGTAGAGACCAGATTGGCATAATCAAACATCTGCCTCACACAGAAAACAATGATCCATCCCTTGCTTTCATCAACCCAACATAAATCCGAGCTCAGCCAGACAGGCCAGCAAACCCCATTACACGGAGTGCAAAGGCAATTAAATGGTGCCAGCTCCGGCTAGACTCAAGAAATCTATGACCCATGGGCCTTTAGTAACCACACCAATGCCTCTCTTGGAAATGACTGAAAAAATTGGTCTAGATGCTAAAGAAAGATTCCACTTTGCTATTTCCTGGCAGGTCTGCCCTGGCCATCAGTCTGTGGCTGCATCATGCTCCCTTTTCCATATCTGGGGATGTTGGACAGGGCAGGTGGCTCAAGAAATTGCCTAGTTTGCTGCAGACATTCTAATTTCCCCACTATTTGGTCTATTCTGCCTCAAATTTTCCCATGATGGTGTATCATCTGCCATCCTTTGGTTTTACTATGAGCACGTCACTTTCTAGCCATAAAAGCATGTCTCAAACATTCTGTTTTTCTCCAGGCCACAGCTGAAATGAAGTGTCTTGAGTGACCAGTTTTAATATCTGGGTCTTCTTGCTTAGGCAAAGCCAGTAGGAGCATCCAGATAGAACTGATCTGCGGATGCCAACCCCAAACTCGCAGCCGCTTGGTCTACCAGGTTCAGGCCAAAGGAACAATTCTATCTGGACTCCTTGATCATCCATTTCCCACAAAGATGAGACAAATGGCTACCACACCCCTCAACCCCCAAAACATTATTCCACCCTCTCCTTGTACCACCTATCCAACTCCTCACCCATTCAATGTCCCCAAAGTACATTTCTCATATTTTTGAGGCATTTGCTTCCCAATCAGCTTGCAGAAGTTATCCCATCTCTGTATCTCAGGTTGCACCCATACTTCCCCTTTTTGAGATAAATGACACTCGCGCCCACTCGTCCTTTCCCTGGCAATAATATGGCAATAATAACACTGTCAGAAACCACTGAATGATCCATGGCAAGGGCATCCCCAAAGACTAAAGGAAAAGATAATTCTGTGGGCCAACTAAGACGTCTGTTAATGTATGGTACACAACTGTATAGAAGTAAAATTGAATGTGATGTCTCCTCTCATAGTCAGAAAGCTTTTTCAAACACCAAACCACACCTCACTCCAAAGCTGGCAATGATAACACACTTTCTTGCCTCATCTTTCCTAAGCTGTTGGGATAATTCTGTTTAGCAACAGATTAATTATTTTTGCAACTTCACTTTGGGTTCTGGCTTCTCATCAAGATCTACCTTAGAAGACGAGATAAGCCTACATGGTCATCAGATAAGTTCCAAGAAGAAAATGTGTTGTGGGTGAGTCTGGACTGAGGACTGAGTTGGAAGATCGTAAAATGTAGCACCAAGTTGAGCTTATCTATGTGTGCACTCGGGTGTACACATATATATATGAGTCTGTTTGCATGAAGAATGAATACTGATGCAGGTGGGAACATAAGGCCTATGTCATTGCAATGTAAGGATGCAACTGGGTTAAATGTCCAAGAGAAAGGGAGGAGCGAGCTATCAAGAGAATAGTAAACAGGTATGTCAAGATGCAGGAGAGGCCAAAGGCTAACCATGAGCATGTGTCTGGGCATGGGTGTGTATATGTGTATGCTTTGGAGTGACAGGGTTAATGGACAATGACAAAGACATGTGAGCAAGGCGCTAGTCTGCCGCTGGGTCCTGCAGCTGGAGAAGCCACCTTACCCTGTAGTAATCGGTGCTGTAGACGTCTCTGGACATGCCGAAGTCTCCGATCTTCACCAGCAGATTGGCTCCGACCAGGCAGTTCCTGGTGGCCAGGTCCCGGTGCACAAAGTGCTGGGAAGCCAGGTACACCATGCCCGAGGCAATCTGGCTGGCGATGTGGAGCATCTGGGAGAGTCCCAGCTCGCCTTTCGCCTGGCGCGGCTGCCCATCCACGAGGATCATAGCATCTGGCCCATGGGCCCTGTGAGGGGTCGGGGGAGAAGACAGGGGACAGAGAGAATTCAGGAGATCAAGGGGAATCGCTTTCTCAGCTCCCTGATCACTGGGATGCACCACAGACAGGAATAAAATCTCCCTTCTCAGCCTACCTATGGCCTATTTCAATCCATCCAAATTATGTTATTTGAGTGTGGACATGGGTAAAATGTTACAACCAGATTCCCAACTAAGGTGACGCAGACATGCTCTGATGGGTCAGAGAATAAACTGAATCTTTTAAATATTTTACTGCTCTCTGGGGTTTTTCAGGGTCTAGATGCCTAGTTTAGAATGACTAATAAAACAACTAACCTGACAGAGCCCTTGCAATGTTCCAAACTCTAAGGATCTTAAACACATTAATTCACTTAAATCTCCCACTCCAATTTTGAGATAAGGAAACTGAGGCACAGATCACCTGGCCAAAGTCCCAGAAGTCCCAATGTGGCCATATGGGTAATCAGGAGGCAGACTGAAACCAGACAAGTGGCTCTAGAGGAGACCTTTAACCTTTAAGGAGCATCAAGAGGGCCCGTCAAACAGATTCCCGGGCCCTGCCCCCTAGGATTCTGATTTTCTAGGCAGAGCCCGATTATTTGCATTTCCGACAAGCTCCCAGTGTGATGCTGCTGGTTGGCAGTCCACACCCTGTGTAGCAAGACTTGAGTCTACGCTTCTAACCTCTCCACCATACTGTCTAGGACTGGGTAACTTCTGTTGGTGGCAGGGCAGGATGGAAAGACTCTGTGACCTTGAAGCAGAAGCCCCGGGAGCCCCAGCACCCACTCCATCCCAAATCAAGGCCCAGATTTGTTATTCTAACACCTTTCTCTGTCATATGGGTCACTTTTAGTGTTCACTCTTTTCTCCAGAAAGCGCAATGAGCCGTACCCACACCCAGGGCCCTTATTTACGAAGTTGTGGGCCAAGGAGCCCTGGTGTACAGCAAGGCCTCGGCCTGTTTTACTGCTTCTCCAATTTCTACCGAAAGGTGCCATTAAATATGAACACAGTCATTTTATCATCTCCTGTGGGCTCTGTCTACCTGACCCCTCCGAAAGAGGGCTACTGCTCAGCTCCCAAGACAGCGGGATCACCGGGGCAAGCCTGCACTCCTGTCTACTGGGGAAGGCACCACAGCCTGCCCTCAAAACCTGGGAGATACAGGAGCAGGAACAGACTTCGACTCTCTTTCTTCCTCTTCTCTTATATTGGCGCAACAGTGGTACAGAGAGGCACCCAGGAACTCTCTGTAGCCCTGATGGTGGCACTTGAGGCTGAAGGCACTGCTGAATCCATTCAGAGAGCATGGTGGAAAATGCAGCATGTCCCTCTGACCCCAGGGGAAGGGAAGCAGGGAGAGGAAGACCCTGAATATTCAGAAAGGGTGTCGCCTGTCTTAGAAACTACCGTGGTTCACAGTTCTGATAAAATAATAATTGTAAAAATTTTAATAGTAACTACCATCGACTAAACACCTCGCTACATGGAAAACTCGTCTAGGTATTATACATATATATTTAATGTTTGTCATTTAATGCTCTTAACAACGAACCTGGGAAGCAGTTATGAACAGTCTTGATTCCTGGGAGAGAGAATTAAGGTTGAAAACTTGTTCCAGGTTACATCGCTAAGATACAACAAATTCAGAGCGTGAACCCAAGTCTGTCTTATGATAAGGACTGAGTTCTCTGGGAAAGGAATAAATTTCATTGTGAAATCAAGTTTTAGGAGGTTTAGAACATTCTACAGATACTTTCAATTCCTTTAGGGACATTTTTGGAAATCCAGCTCATAAGAAGCATTCACTATCTGCTACCAATCCTTTCCATTTCTCCCTTAAAACCACAGCCTCCTGTTGAATGTCCCACTTCAAGAAGATGCTCATCAATTTTTGGTGAGTGTGCTAGAGTGTTCCATAATCTACACATGGACTCTGAAAATCTCATGGAATTCAATGAGCGTCAATAAGTTTCAAGGACCACACACTATGTCAAGGGTCTGATTTTTCAACCTGCTTCCTGGGACCCTGAATTCCACAGACCCTCACACATGGCTGCCCCCTCCACATCTGGGCACTACTTGGAGGTGGCAGATGTGGGAGGCAGGGAAGTGCTAACTCTGCTGTAGTGGTGAGATGCTGCTTTCTCTGGGCAAGGGAGAGCTCCCCCTCAACCCCATCCGGAACTTCTGGTTGGGGTTCCCGTCTCTTACCAGTTCCATCAAGAACATCTCAAAGTCCAGATGATCTTGTTCCAGGTTTGGGGAAACTCTTCTTACAACAAATCCAATCTTTCTAGAACAATGCTCTCCAATAGAACTTTCTATTGATAGAAATGTCCTATACTGCACAGCCCAATATGGTCACATGTGACTACTGAGCACTTGAAATGTGGCTAGTGTGACTGAGGAACTGGATTTTTAAGTTTTATTTAAGTTATGTAAATTTAAATTCAAATTTCCGTATGTGGCCACGGTACTGGACAGCACAGTTCTACATTTATCCCAGGAAAATCCACTCTTTTTTTTCAACCATCTCTGTCTCCTGATGAATTTGTGAACTTCTGCCTTCTTACTCCTCATCAAAAAGTCTCTAGCAAGCAGGTTTCCAGGAGGGGTATGAGGTATTAGCCTCACTTTGCAACACTGAGGAGTGTAAGGCACAAAATGGGAAAGCTATTCACATGATCCAGGGGAAGGATGCCCCTAGAATCTAGGAGTTGGAAGCTATAGGCTGGCAGGCCCTCTGGGCTCCCTCCTTGGATTCATTCCAGACCCTGCTCTTTTTCTCAGTCTACTTGGGATCAGGAAGGAGAGCACAGGTTACTGGTCATAGCATCCTCAACTTTTTCTCCCTAGAAATTAGGGACAAAGGCCTGATGTAGAAGAATGAAAGGCTGCTTCTCATTTCGAATCCCCAGACTTGTGTTCAGAGGGGCACTAGGACTTCTGGCTCCAGAGAGAACCCCCAGGGTCCGGTAGGGCTGGGTTGGAGAGTAGAGGTAAGGACAGCGATCCTCGCTCACCTGAGGAACTTGTTCAGGTCTCCATGCTTCATGTACTCAAAGACCATGATGAGGGGGTCCCCATCACCACACACCCCATAGAACTTGACAATGTGCTCATGCTGCAGGTTGGTGAGCAGCTCGGCCTCCCTCTGGAAATCCTTCCTGGCAGCCAAGGTGGGATCCTTCAGGGCCTGAAACAATGCAGGACATGTTTTTTAGCAACCAGAAGGCAGGGGTGTGTCTGGTTCCCTCCCAGGAAGAAAGCTGGTGCCCATAATAATGACACTGCTGGTTCCCAACAAATGAGATTCTAATCAGGGTTTAAAGAGCATGAGGCTAAGACACAGTAGCCAGGCCTGACTCCTTTGTCCTTCAGCATTTTCATCCCTGTAGAAACAGAAATCAACTTTCTGAAACCCACGACCCATCCACCAGCCAGTGATTTCAAACCATGTTCATCTCAGAGCCCTAGGCTTCTTCAGAGATTAGTGTGAACGCAGAGAGAGGGGGCAGGGAGATGGAAGGCCTGACAAAGGCCCCTTCCCACGTTTCCTTGAAGAAATGGTCCCACCTCTAAACTAAACAGTGGGAGAACCACTGTCCCAGTTGCTTTCACTATGTAAACCAGACTGTGCCCATAGCCCACCAGAAATCAGGCAGACAATGTAATAAAGTCTTCTTGCCTTTTCTATTCCTTGATTTTAGATCGTGAAGGAGTGTATACTTGCACAGAAATGTGACCACTTTGGCTTCTAGAAGGCTCTGGTGTCCTCCTAGTAGGGGTGAAGGGAGCACTGGGGGGAAATGGGGCTGCAGCGATGGGAATGGCAGTTAACAGGCAGAAGCCTGAGGATCACCCAAGACCAGGACCAGGTAAAGGACCACAAAGTCTCAGGGTAGGAGGGGAAGATGGGCATCTGGTGGCCACAGAAATGTCACAACTCAACCCTCATGGGAGTGGGAGGCCCTGGTGTGAGGGAAGAGCACCAGACCAGACCACATGCCCCCAGGCCCAGGAAGATAAATGGAAGAGCAATGGTAGGAGGGGTGTCAGCTGTGAATGTGGATATTCCAGCACCAGAAGGAGATGGCAAGACCAAAATGGAAGACATCCATCACCTCCGACGGACCTTGGATAGGGCACTGCCGTGGGAACAGGTCCCTCTCTGCAGGAGGAGCAGCCAGGCAGGTGTGCTCACACATTTCTCTAGCTTACCACCCTCCCCATGAGGTCAGAAGGCAGGGGCCAAGCATCCAGTTGCCTCAAATGACACTGTTTAGTAACCTCAATAGACACAACACAAGGCAATGAAGGTGGGGTGTGCAGTTTGCACGCCATTTTCAAGTTAGCAGAAATCCAGACAGACAGGAGACTGGTTTGCATTCTCTCTGCCAGGCATCTGGACTTTTTGGTTATTTAGGCAGACGGACCTCCCCTGTAGTTCATGCTACTACTGAAAGGCCTCCCTAGCCAGAGAACTTTCTCTTGCCCCCACAACTCCCATCAGCTGAAATCCACATGGCTGTCTTGGCTTAGAGCACGGAAGGAATGAGAATATGCAAAAATTGTATCTAGTCATCAGCATACAGTAGACATAATGGATTCTTAGCATTAAAAGGGCCCCAGATATCATCTGCTTCCACCTGCTCATTTCTGGAGTTGGAGAAACTGAGGCCCAGCCCTGCCCGGGGATCAGCACACATTCGTACATCTTAAATGACAGCAGATTAGAGTTAAACTGGACCCCAGACACCTCCTTGTGACCCAGAGTTCAATGGCAATGGCTCTAGGGCCATCAAGAGGGCCACGGTCTCTTAGCCAGAGATCAAAACCCACTCCCACTTCAACCAGCGCCACCTTTCATTCTTTTCAAAATTTGGAGGTTTCACCAAAAAAGTGTTTGAGTAAATGACTCTACTGCTGACAAAAATGCTGGAAGCTATCTAATGTAGCTTTCCCATTTTACAGCTGAGAAAACCGAGGTCCAGAATGGGGAAGCAACTTGCCAAAGATCACACAAGAAGTAAAGACTTGAGTCTGGAGCCCAGGACACCTTCCTCCCCAGCACACCTACTTGAATTAATTTATCAGATGAATAACTCTCTAGGCAGGTCTCCAAGGGAATGGTGGGTGCAGAAGCTAAAGACATGAAAGGGCAGAGGAGAGGGTGGGAAAGAAGAGGAGTATGGGCAGCCGGCAGAGCAGGTGGACCCAGCGAGGAAGCCAGGTTTGTAAGGCAGGCCAAGGGCACAGGAAAGTGGGAGATCCACTGACCCACGGCTGATTTTCACCACTTCTAATCCTATGGGCTTATTGGGATGCTACCCCATAATAAAGGAATAGGCTGCCATGGGTCCACCTGTCAGAATCAAGACATTTGCAAAGCCTTCTTCCTACGAGTGGAGGAAGGCAGGGAGTCATCAAGAGAAGGCGCTTTCCTGGGTGACCCAGCTCCCAGCTGCAGCCCTGAGCTGCATGGGCTGGGCCATGGGTATAGGATGACTGCCAGTGATTTATTTATTTTCACGAAGAACAAGAAGGTAAAGAAAAAAAAATGGAACCCAGCATGGGTGGGATGGGAGAATACAAAGATTTATGTGAACACTGGATTTATGAGAGGGAAAAGTAGATCAAATTTGAGGCCAGCCAAATGGCCTCTCTCCATCTCTGTAAATCATTCTCCTGCACAGTCCGGAAGCCAATGGCAGCCATTGGCTATTTCCGTTCTCAGCTCTCACGCAGTGCCAGCCAGCATCCCCAAGGTTGGCTCCCCACACCGCGAGGCAGATATGAGTTCCTCATTTGGGAGATGGGGCACAAAGCCACTGCTGCCTCTTCTAGCTTTCCCACATCCTTTATCCTGCCAGTTCTCTTTCCACCATCACAATGGGTTTTCCAGCTCCTGGGTCAAACCTGAAGTTCCTATGTAACTGGCAAAGGGTCAAGTGCAGAACTGGGGTTCAGAGCTGCAAGTGGCCCCAAACCCCAGGGATTGATGCAATTGGACCAGAGATGATAGAAAGAGAATAATAAAGAGGAAAATCAGCTCAGAGATTCTCTTGCCCCTCTCAATGGAGCCGACATCCAACACGTTCTTTGGAGCTGGGAAACTTCAACATGGGTCCCCAGTCAGTGGATGGGAGGCACAGGGAGATGGGTCTTGCCAAGGGGTCTCTGAAGCCCTTCCAGTGGCATCCATAGAACAAAGAGGAGAGCAGGAATTCTGGCCCCCTGGTCTCCTTCTTCCCCACCCAAGGTTTGAAGGCACTGCCCTTTCTGGTCCTCCCGCTGTGTGCATTAGGACGCATGTCCACCTCCTGCCCTGGGGGAAGGATTTCAGTGGGGCTGTTTAGTAGGATGGGAGGAAAGCAGTCTAGACGGCAGGAACATTCAAACTTCTCAACAGTTCCCACTTCATCAGAGTCATTTAACTTCTTCGTCTTGTCCAGCCTGGGAGCTCTGCTGCCTTCCATTTTTTTTTTCCTTTTATTGAGAGGAGATATTTCAAAGAATGTTCAGTTTTGGATTTTATTAACATACTGAAATCTATTTTATTATATGCACAGAGATACACATATTCCTAAATGTTCAAATTCCTAAACGTTCAAATACACAGACAACCACGCACACACACACAGTCAACCCTTTAAAAAGAAGGTACGAAAATCTCCTTTCTCTTTTCCTCTCAAAATCCACTGTCACTTCACCTTGTTGAGATCCCCAAACGATTTTATCAGAGAACAAGATGGGTAGTTATCACATGTACAGGTGCCCTTCTCTCATCTGTCTTCCTACCTTAAAATTGGCCATCAGCTTCCCGTTGTTTTCAGGATAAAATCCACACTCCTTTACACAATCATGGGCTCTAAATTTCAGGTCACCCCACCTGTCTCTGCCTCCTCTCCTCCCATACATTCCCTTCTCCTCATTCATTACACTTCAGTCTCACTGGTCTTTCCATCCTTCTTTCCCACCACGATTTTATCTGCCTCAGGCCCTTTGCACGTCCTGTTCTTTGGACCAGAAAAACTCTCAACTGAGCTATATCCACATGACCAGCCAGAAAAGCTGGCACTGTCCATGACCTCTGTGGAACACACTGACTGGTGCCCATTATGCCCTGAACACTCACTACTAGTTGAATATCCGGAGATACCTTCGTCTCAGAGAGGAGCTTACCAAGAGCCAGCCGTGCTTGTCCCCAAATTCATTTCTGACAGTTGAGCCTGTTAATGTCGTCACTTAATGTAATGAAATGTCATGGAAACCGATGAAATATGAGTGCAAAGAGTGGACTGTTTTTAGGGAACCTAGGATGAATATTTTTGGAAGGAACTTCTAAAAGTCAGTGTTAAAAAGTGTTAAGACTGGGACGAAATACTATTTTTAAAAATTGAGAAAATAGTAAAAATCTGAGATTCTACACTCAGATTGTTTCACAAATATTTTAAGTTTCTGCTCCAATTTAAAGTAACTGAAACTGGAAATCATGAGCAACCAAAACAAAAAGAAAACAACCTCCCAAATCAAAAGGAACCCAAAAGCTGAAGTTCAGACATATTGGAAGAAATATCACATTGAATCCAAATAATTAAAATTATAAATAACCAGAACACATATTTCCTGCATATAAAATTAATTTTATAGGAAGACTGAGAAAAATGTTAAAATAAGTAAATGCTCAAAGAGAGTGAAGAAATAATTATTTTAAAGAATCAAGAAGGTATGCAACCAAAACAGAGAGAAATAAGATTAAGATAACAATAAAGTTAAGAACCAGTTAAATATCTTGGAAATCAAGTGTATGGTCATTGATGTCAAAATAAAAATCTCCATTGACAGGACACAATCTACACTAGATAAAACCGCAAGAAGAATTCATGACTTGGAAGAACGCTGAGGTTCACCCAGAGCAGAGCATAGAGAGATGGGGGGAAAGAGGAAAGGCAGTGAGAAGGATTCATTCTCTCATCTGTGGAGGAAAGGGGTTGTCCAGGTTTCAGTGTGGCTCCACCACGGACTAGCTGTGGGAACTTGGGTGAATTGCTTAACCTCTCTGTGCCTCAATGTCCTCTTGTGTTAAATGTAGACAATGCTAGTGCCCAGCTCTCAGGGTTGCTATGAGAATGAAACATTAACATGCACACATCACCCACAGTGGGGCCTGGCATACTGTGAGCACCCTAATGAGTGTTGTCTGTTCAATGTTGTCATCATCATCATCATCATCACCATCTTCTCCTCCGTGAACGTCCCTCTGGGCTCTGATATTCTACGACTCTGAGACCTGAGCTTCCTGGGCCTGGGGGGTCTCCTTTCTTCCTCTCTCCCCATTACTTCATATAGGGCAGACACACAGTAAGTGCTCAATGAATATGTATGGAATGAATAAATTAAGCGTATTTTTAAGAATATGATAAATCCTTGAAAGAAAAATCTTTTACGGCACACTGATTTATCACAAAGCTAACACCAGTGCATCCTCGATGTAAGTAAAAAATAAAATATTGCCAACTTCCCAGAAATGGCCCCACCCTGCACCCTGCCCTTCCAGGATGCTCTCTCTCACCCTGAAGGTAACTACTATGCTGACTCATGGAATTCACATCCTTGTTTTTTTAAAATAGTTTATACTACCTGAATACGAATTCCTAGATGCTGGGAATTACTTGTGTTTTGGATTTTGTAAAGGCGGAATCACACATATAGCATTATGTATGTGCTTCTATATCTTTTTTCATTCAACATTGTGCTTTTGAGATTCTTCCTCACTGTTGCATGCAGCCGTAGTTCATTCATTCTCCTCACTGAATAGCTTTCCATTATATGAATATAGCACAGTTCTTTATCCACGTTGCCATTGATGGACACTGGGGTTGTTTCTGACTTTTGGCTGTTATAAATAATGCTTTGTGAACATTCTTAGACACATCTCTTGATAGAGAGAGAGAGAGAGAGAGACAAATAGAGAGAGACAGACAGACAGACAGACAGACAGATATCCATTGGGAATAGGCCCAGAAGTAGAAGTGCTGGGTCATACAGTATACCAATGTTCTAGAATATCAAACTGTTTTCAAAACAATTATACCCCTTTACATTCCCACCCGCAAAGTATGAGAGATACAAGTTGCTCCATATCCTTGTCAGCACTTGGCATTGTCACTGCTATTAAGCTATTCTGCTTGGTGGAGAGAGGTATCTCATTATGGTTCATTTGCACTTTTCTGATGATTGATTAGATTGGACACCTTTCTCATATACTTATTGGCATTTGATATCAGAGGAGATTTTCTTGAGATCTTCTGAGCAAGTGCACTGTTTGTCAAATGACTGTGTAAAAGCAGCATCACCTATTTACAAAGATTGTGAACTACATGATTTTAACGTCACACTTAAACTACACACATATAGAAATTACGCTCTGTCTCGTCCTGTGCTCCATGTCTTTCATAAGTATTCATCTTGTCTCTGCAAGAGACTGCAAGGACCTTCGAAACAGAGGCTGGGATTTCTGTTCTTTGTTTCCACCATAGCAACTGCAGAGCAAAAAATTCTTGCCAATGGATTTAAAACCACAATTTTGGGAAAACCTTGTCTTGAGTAATACTTGGAAGTGTTCTCTGGAAGTCCACAATTACCCTGCATCAAAATGAGAACAAACCCAAGCGGAAGGAGCCCAAAAACATGAGGAAAAGCTAAAGAGGATAAAAAGCAGGAGACAGGGTGGGTTCTCGGCTGTTCTCCAGAGGAGAGGAGGGTCTCCTTCAAGGGCTGCCCACTGGGCAGATCCCCTGGGTGGCAAATGGTGTGAAATGCCAGAGCACTCACCTCCTCGGGGTCACCAGATCCAAGGGGAAAAGGAAACACTTTTAAAAGGATGAAAACAGAAACACATTTTCTGCATTAGCCAATCTGGGTACTGCCACTCAATGCCACACCACTCAGTGGGAAACATTTCCCAGGGTTTTAGACCATCATTTCATTTCCTGCTCAAAGTGCAATAAATGTTCCATTTCTTCACCCATCCCCAGACGGATGCTGGAACACCCAGCGGATTAGTGTCATCCTGTAAATTAAAAGTTTTAGGGCAGTGCAGATTCTAAGTTTCGGGACAAAATTAGAAACATTTCCACCTTTCCACATTCCTGGTCCAAGCTGTCTAAAGACAGCTCGCTCACCTGTGCATCCCCCGCCTATGGAGACACACCGAGCAAGTTTATTCTCGGCGTGTCTAGCAATAATAATCATTAGCCTTTTATGGCAGCAATACTCTAGTTCCTTATTTATTTTCTAGAGCAGAGGTCAGCAGACAACACATATTTTTGTGAAAAAAAATTTATTGGAAAACAGCCACCACCTTTAGTTTATGTATTTTTTATGCTGCTTTCCCACTACATGGGCAGAGTTGAGTAGCTGCAATGAAGAAGGTATGGCCCTCGAAGCCTAAAATATTTATTATCTGGCCATTTCGAGAAAAAGTTTTGGCAACGCCTACTCTAGATGTCAACGCAAGCCTGGCAGCTCATACGTCATGTGTCTAAGCACATTCAATAACAGCAACATCAAGACTAATGATGATAACAGAGACAAATACTCTTTATTGGGACGATGCCCCAAGTGGTGACCTGAGGATTTTACATATGTTATATAATTTAATCACCAAAATTCTGAGGAGGAGATATTATAATTCCTATTATACAGATAAGGAAACTGAGGCCCATAGAGGTTAAGCATCTCTCACAAGGTCACACAGCTAATGAGTGCTGGGGCTGAGACTCCCCTCAGGCTCTCTGATTTCCATGCTTGGCCTGTGGTCCGCACAGCACCTCCTGTGTCCGTGGAGGTCATTTATCCTCCGTGGACAAAGCTGTTTTGCAGATACACAAGACTGCGAACACAGAGACCCAAAAGTCGCAGGAGGATGAAACTGCTGTCATGAGGGCACCATCAGAGCCCCATGCTTAGGATGAGACCCTTTTGAGGTGCAGGTGAGAATCCTCATGGGGAGCAGTTTCTCCTGCTCCCAGCCCAGAACATGATGCAGAATTCACATTGGCCTCAGAGGCCCGCTCGCTGCTCCCACAGAGGCCACCCCACGCTCCAGAGCAGGGATCCTGAGACCCAGGGGTGCCTCAGCGAGGTGACTTGACTCTTACCTGTGCCAATAATGTTCAAAGATTGGTCCAACATTGATTTATAGAAGCTGCTCCCTGCTGGAGGCAGGGCTAGGGAGGGAGACTGCTGGCAGGAAAGTCCCCTCTCTCCTGCCCGAAGCGATTCAGCTCCAGCTGCACATCTGCACAGCTGGCTCCACAGCTGGTAATGGACCCATCCAGCAGCTGCCAAGAGCCAGATGCCCTCATGCATGCTGCCCCTTGGAGTCTGAACCTGGATCCCCTGGGGGGTTTCTGAGAAGCTCTTCCAGCCTCACTCACTGTTGTCCCTGTGCTCAGTACTAAACCCCCCACCTCATCTCCTTCCATTCCCAGTGATGTCTGCTGCCCTCGACTGTGGCTCCCAGGGTGTCCTTGAGTCACCCACCCTTCAGCCAACTCCACTCCTGAGAAATGGTCTAGTGACAGTCCAGGAGCAACAACACATCCTACAAAGTCACTGAGGAGGGAGGAGGGCCAGCTGGGGTCAGAGCTGAGCCCAGGGCCTCCAGAATAAACCCAGGGCCTTTCACAGGCCTAACTTGTTCCCCCAGCTGCACCCAGGCACAGCCCTCTGAGGTACTATGGCTCTTGACTTCCAAATCCACAGGAAGCTGGTTTTGGTCCAGAGGAAACTTCCCTGACCTTGGAACCAGGGCCTGGGTGCATCTGCTAAAGCCAGTTTACACCATCTTCCAGAATAGAGTGAGTGCTCCTTCCCGCTCCCCGGCCCCCGCCAGCCCTCTTCTGGAGGCCCACATGCCTCCGCGATTTACCTTCACGGCCACGAGCATCTTGTCCTTGGTCGGGCTGAGGTTGTAGCACTCAGCGAGGAAGACCTTTCCAAAGGCTCCCTCGCCCAGTTCTCGCTTCAACACGATGTCCCTCCTCTTAATGTGCTGCACATCTGTAGCAGGGGACAGAGAGGAGAGCAGTCAAGTCAGTCCTGGGTGCTTGTCCCTGTGAGAGGCAGGGGGACAGCAGAGCACAGGGGTCTAGAGCGGGGAGCTCTGCTCCTGAGTCCACAGCAGGGAGAGGCAAACTCTAGCACCTCAAGTTGGGCGTGGAAACTGGTGTCACCTTGTGGGTTGAGAGTCCTGCCCAGAATCAAGTCTCAGCTCTGCCCTTGACTAGCCCCAACCTCTCTAAACCACCACTTCCTCAGCTGGAAAACAGAGCCAATCGTGGTGAACACACAGGATTCTGGGGTAATTGGCTATCGTGGCTGGAGAGAGTATATAGCGGTCTCAGCAGTTACTGTGCACAGGCGTGCCCTGGGGATCTTGTTCAAATGCAGCTTCTAACTCAGTGGGTCAGAGACTCTGCAATCCTAACCAGCCCCCAGGTGCTGTCTATGTGCACAGTCCGGTCTCCAGGGTATTCCAGAATCCTGGCTCCACCTCCTTGCTAGCCTTTGAGCCTGGGAAAGCTATTTCACCCCAGAGCCTCAATTTCCTCATCTGTAAAATGGGATTAACACCAATACCTTACTGGCTGAATTCTTGAGAAGATTAGATGAGATAATCCATAAGAAGGGCTTGGCCCAGTGCCTGGGGCAAACTAAACACGCACAGGGACGCACTGGCTCTTGTTACAGCATGTGCGCTGGAATGGCCCCAGCACCATGTCTGGTTCGTGACAGAGACCACCAAGTGGTAGCTAGAATTATTTAGGGGAAGCCTCTACTTGACAAATGCCCCGCCTCTGAGAGAGAGAAGACCAATGAGATCACGAGAGCAAAGCGCAGAGGCCACGCCAGAGCCTGTGGCTGTGCAAAGAGAAGGGGCGCCACTGCCTTGGCGAATGCAGCAACCTAATTAAGTCTGTCTGCAAGAGAAAGCAAAGCCGTGACCTCGGCCCTCCCACCCATTCGGAAAGAATGCTGCGAAGAAATTGTACATGAAGCGGGCTGGTGATGAAAGGAGCGAGCCAAGATGACTCGCTGACCTACCCATTAATTGTTCATTAAATACCCGTATCCACATGAGGAACAGCACCGCAGCGCCAGGAGAGAGGGATGTCTCAAATGACCTTGCCAAAAAAATGAAAGCTGCAGACAGAGGACCATGGCAGATTGTCCCCACGAGGGAGGAACCCTATGACAGGGACCCAGGGGTGTGGCTGCAAAGCCTCAGACAGTGCTCTGGTGGCTTGGGGATTCCTTTCAGAATAGGCTAAACAAATCTCTTCTTATTTTTCCTATCAGAATCTTTCGTATCCCCACCGTGTCCCAGATGACCTGCTGCAAGGATCTGTAGGAGGAGGCACTTGCAGACTGTCCCTCTCTCCTCCCCAGGAACACAGATGCACACACTCACAGGTGCGGGGGCTGCTCCTCAGGCCACAGGGTGCCAGGCGGCTGCTTTGCCCTGCTCTTTACAACAAGGTGATTGAAAATTGGTTCCCTCCTTCGCTCCCTCTGTCACCATGGCCCAGCCTCTGAGGAATGGTATTGTTTAGCCTTGAAGGAGAAGGGTAAAGAGTCTCCCACAGAGAGAAAATGGGAGGTCACGACCTCTCGAGGGAGGCCTCTGCTCATTGCTGCATAATGATTCCCAAGGGCCTGCCAATGACTGCACGGGTGCCTGCAAGGTGAGTGTCCCGGCGCAGCCTCGGAGGGGAGACAGGGCTGGTGACGCAGCTCTACAAGGCCAGGCCCACACCTCTCAACACACAGGGACTGGTAAGGAACGGGAAGTCAGGGGCACCTGCTTCAAGGCCTGGATCCTCCACACACTACGGGCTTGCACACATCATAAAACATCTTAGGTCTCAGTTTCCTTGTCTGCAGAATGGGTGTGGGGATATAAAACAAGTTCTGCTTACCCACGAAGTGAACTTTGTTGTAAAGGCTTGTAAGCCTTCAAGTCCTCTAAAATGTCAGTGTGTCCTGGTGTTTTCACCATTAGTGACATTATTTTGCAAGAAGAGGAAACAAGGGCCAAATCAGAAGTCCTTGACTAGTGGCCAAGATGGGACTAGAAACCAGAGCATAAGGTCACCACCAGAGTAGCCAAACCACTTGGGGACAAACCACCTTTGGACCCAGAGCCCACCCCAACCCCAGCCTCCCCCTGGCATTGCAATAGACATGGTCTTCAAACTCGAGCTTTATCAGAATCACCTGGAGGGCCCTTCTCCCATGGGGACCTGAGAATTTGCCTTTCTAGCAAGTTCTCAGGTGATGCTGATGCTGCTGGCCTGGCACCCCACTTTGAGAACCAGTGGAACAGGAGGCCATTGGTGGGCGAGGAACTAGCCAGCTGATGACAGCTGTCAACCTCTGCAGCTTGGCCTCCCCAAGTCCCAAGCCCACCAATATTGTAGTCATGCCTCGCCACCTGAAGATCAGAGGAGGCTGCAATCCTGGACTTACCTCCAGTGGCTCCTCCCTTCCCTAGCTGTGTGGCCGGGCTAGTCATGTCCCCTCTCTGAGCTTCAACTACTCCTCCACGCAATGGAGATCATGCCTCTCTTGCCTCCTCATGTTCTGGGCCCATCTCTGGGTCCCTAAGTGCAACCTGGGCCGGGTGACCTCACCAGCTTCCCCAGAGCTACTCGCTTAGCTACAGCGAGCACAAACTGAGAACTGAGAACTGAGGGCTCAATGAGGGGCCACACATTTCCAGCTGCTGGGCATCAGTCACGTCTTGGAATCCTCCATCTTCTCTCCCTCCCTGGGCAGCAAGAATCCCAGGCCCTGAAGGAGTCAGACAAGCCAAGTGGGAGCAGCGTCTGGGAGGCGGTTTCTCGCCCCTCCCTCCCAGGAGTTGAGAGCCTGATGGCAGCTGCGAAGCCCCAGCTGTGGGAGGGAGGGGGCAGCTTTGACAGCTGTGAGCCTTGACCGCGGCAGGAGGCAGGTAGTCATGTTCCTGGAAACTGGGTCTGCTCCCTACATGAAAAAGGCCAAGCAGAAGCCTCCCACAGACCAGTGTCTTCCCCAAATCTGCAAAGGGATCTTTTTCAGAGATGTGGAAACACCCAGTGGCTCAGAATAAAAGAGCCTTGGCTCACTCTAGTTTTCTTCAAGGAGAAGCAGTTTGAGACCAATCCCTGAGCTCGGTCCACGGATGGGGTGGTGAGGTCTGAAAAGGAGCAGCAGAAGGGATGGAAAACAAAAACAGACTCCATCCCACCACAAGTCCTCCCCGAGGAGAGCGCTTCCTCCCAGCCATGGGGTGAGGAGCTCTGTGAGGAAACCGGGGAGACTTGGCAGTGGGGGGCTGGATAGGGGCCAAACCCACCAGGAAAATCACTTCCATGTGCACAACCCCAGGTACCAACGAGACTAGTCTTCAAAACACGATCCGAGCGGCTTCCTTCCCTGAATCTAAGTGGGAAGAAGTAGGGCAAAGGGGATTAATTCGTGCCCAATCCTGCAATTTGCTCAACATTCGAATCTCATGATAACCCAGAGATGTAAGTATTGGGGTACCCCTTTCATAGAGGAGAAAATGGAGGCAGGGAGTGTCTTTCTAGAGTTCACAGAGCTAAAGTGCAGCCAAGGAAGGACTCTCTTCTGTTGATGATTCCCAATCCCGCATTCTTTCCATGACATGAGGCTGCCTGTCCTCTGTCCTCCCCTACTTTGTGGCCACCATGGTGATCCGGTCCACAGCAGCTTCACCCTCCATCTTCCCCTTCTTCTGCTCCTGCCCAATTTCTCTTACTCTGCTTATCCCGGGACTCTATTACAGCATCTTCCCAAGGGAAAGTGTAGGAACCCTCCACCCCTGAGGCCCTGGGTGGAGGGTGTGGGAGGGAAGGGCGCTGCTCAGGCCCTGGGGAATGGCTGGAGTGAGCCATTTCCATTTCTGACGTCCACATGTCTATTTGGACCCCTGTTTGGGCATATTTTTAGCTCACACAGTGCTGCTCAGAGCTGCCTCTGTTGAAGCCATCTGACCCACACGCCAAAACGTGATGGATTTTCCTAGGAGGAGCGGGCATCAATCTCATTTTACTGCCTGGCTGGCTGACCCAGCGGAGTCTGGGTCACAAGGCTCAGCCGCCAGGACACTGGCAGGGGAGGGGGAGAGAGGGAGATACACAACCCTGGCCGTGGGAAGACCTCCCAATCTCCCTCAGTGAAGGGGCTGCTGGGGAGAGCAAGGGGCTGGTATCCCGTGCGGAGGGATCTTCGCGAAATGGAAAGGGCTCCTGGCACCTCTGGCCTAGCTCTTCCCTCCCTCCTCTTTTCAAGAGAGCTGCCAATTGAGATCTGCCAGAGGAGGCCACCTGTAGGGCTCCCCACTCCCATAGGACGACGGTGTCATCAGACACAAACACAGAACGAGGATTGGTGTGTTCCAGTTACTGCTCCACAAATTTCCTTCTGTACCAAGGACCAAGGCAACTATTCCATGTCTGTGTGGGAAGTCTTCTGGGAAGTCTTCCAGGCCTGGAGCAAGCTTGACCTAGAGCAGAATCCCTAATTTAAAGAGGTCACCAGGCACCTCTGTACAGAAGGCCTCAGAGCCCTGAGAGGTCAGGGGATAGGCTGTGGTCACCCCTCATGCTGCCCCTGTTCACCAGGCTGCCTCATCCTGGGAGGAACAGAGGGTTCCTGCAGCACCTTTGTCACCTGCACAGACCCGCTGGATAGACAGACATGGCCGGAGACACAGGGGACCACTGTCCGCTTCACCTCTATGTTCTGTGAAAATGGAGGTGTGACAGGCAGAAACTGCTCAACTCTGCTGACCAGGGATGAAGAAAAAGCATAAAACCCCCCAAAAATGGTGTTGCTGAGAGACTGAGGAGGTGGGAACAGAGGCAGGTCTGTGTCTGAGTCCTTACTCTGCCACTAACACGCTTCATCCCTCGGTCCCACGTTCCTTATCTGTAGAGTGGGAACGCTGGACATCTACTTGGCAGGGTTGTTTAGAAGGCTGATTTAAAATTTTT